AGACAGATGTTGAGGACCTTCATCTTTTGCGATCAAAGAACAGGAAGAAGGCCAGAGTGGGGCAGGAAGGGGAGGGTAAGACCTCTTCTTCCTCCACCCATCTACCTTGCCTTGGTGAATTCCAAAATGGAATTTGCCCCAAAAGTCAATGAATGAACTCTTGCTGGGAACGGAGACAACTATGAGGTGGTGCTGACACCTGCTGGCAAAAGAGCAATAATCATGAGGTCTGGGCAAAGGATTAGTAAACAGAAAGTTACTGATTTGTTTTCTGTTTTGCTGTGTGTGTGTGTGTGTGTGTGTGTGTGTGTGTGTGTGTGTGTGTGTGTGTGTGTGTGTGTGTGTGTGGCTTGAACTCAGGGCCTGGGTGCTGCCCCTGAGCTTTTCCGCTCAAGTCTGGCTTTCTGCCACTTTGTACCACAGTGTCATTTCTGGTCTTCGGGTGGCTAACTGGAGATTAAAATCTAATGAATTGCCATGTCTCTGCTGGCTTGGAGCCATAATTCTCAGATCTCAGCCTCCTGAGTAGGTAGGATTACAGGCGTGACACTGGTACTCAGCTTCTGGGTCTTTTTGTGCAACCAGCCTTCTCCCAGAATTCAGGGGTTTGGCAGATAGTATTGCCAGTTTCATATTGTAATATGAAAGGCAACTTCTGATGCCCACAAATGAAACAATTTTACATTTACCATAGGTAGAGGGGAAAAAAAAACAAACCCTGTTATCCATGAGACAGTGAGGGAGAGAGAAAACAGCCTTGCAAGTCTAGCTAGAGTTCCAGGCCCAATGCAGCCACTTGCTAGGAGGTTTTGGTAAATCACTTTGTTTTTCTAGTCCTGGGGTTTGCAGTCAAGGCCTCCTGCTTGCTAGGCTGGCACTCTACCATATGGCCAGCCTCTAAGCCCTTTGCGCTTCGTTATTGTTAGAATAGGATCTTGCCTTATCCCTGAACCAGCCTGGACCGTGATCCTCCTAGTTGCACTTCTTTTTTTTTTTAAGGTTAACTTTTTTCTTGTTATTACAAAGGAGTTGTACAGGGCTGGGAAGGTGGCTCAGTGGTAGAGCACTTGCCTTGCATGCTAGAGGCCCTGGGTTCGATTCCTCAGCACCATATAAGAAAAAAAAAAGCCGGAAGTGGCACTGTGGCTCAAGTGGTAGAGCGCTAGCCTTGAGCTGAAGAGCTGAGGGACAGCGCCCAGGCCCAGAGTTCAG